CGTTCGAACACGGGGCTTCACGAGCGCTTGCGAACATCGCACAGACATCGCGTTATCGCACACGCGTTACCACACTACGCTTTTGCCACGCACTAATCCCGCGTTAGCAGCACGCGCGTACGAACACGTGGGAGACCTTGCCGCGTTGCGAACTACGACACCAACGCGTTAGCACGACGCCACACACGTTGCGCGACGCACGGACGCGTTACGCACACGCGTTGCGAACACGCACACGCGCTACGAACACGCGTTGCGAACACGCACACACGTCACGCACACGCGTTGCGAACACGCACACGCGTTACGCACACGCGTTGCGAACACGCACACGCGTTACGCACACACGTTGCGCACGCACACGCGTTACGCACACGCGTTGCGAACACGCACACGCGTTACGCACACGCACACGCGTTACGCACACACGTTGCGCACGCACACGCGTTACGCACACGCGTTGCGAACACGCACACGCGCTACGAACACGCGTTGCGAACACGCACACGCGTTACGCACACGCGTCGCAGGCGTATTCCCGCGTTGGCACTCGCACTCACAGGCGCTTCACACGCACACACACGGGCGTATACTGGCGCTCACACAGGCGTATACACGCGCACGCAGCGGCACGCTTCACACGTACACACAGGCGTATAGGCGCGCACACGCGTTGCACGCTTCACACGTACACACAGGGGTATAGACGCACACACGCAGGCACGCTTCACACATACACCCAGGCGCATACGCGCGGACACACCGGCACGCTTCACACGTACACACAGGTGTATACACGCGCACGCAGCGGCACGCTTCACACGTACACACATGCGTATACGCGCGCACGCATCGGCACGCTTCACACGTACACACAGGCGTATACACGCGCCCGCAGCGGCACGCTTCACACGTACACACAGGCGTATACGCGCGCACGCACCGGGACGCTTCACACGTACACACAGGTGTATACACGCACATACGCACACACACACGTAGACAGGCAGGCGTTGCAGGTGTATAGAACCAGACGCGTTAACGCACGCACACGGTCACTCGTCGTTGGTGTATGCACTCACACATAGACCTAGGCGCGCACACACTAGAGGTTAGTGAATAGTAGAACGGATTAACAGCAACTAGCAATTAGCAATGCCAGCTGTTGGTCGCGCAGTACATGCATACACGTACGCAGAAATACTTGATATTGAAGCAATGAATGAGAATCAGTGATATAGAAACGATTACTGAAAAGCTATTTAGCTAGAGAATACGGTAGTAACTAACTGAATTAGAATATAACTTAACTGTCCGGCTAGGTCTAGTCATTACATACCCGGCCACGGTACGGCGTGGCTATGAAGTCGTCGGCTACGGCGGTTGATGAAAGTAGAGTGATGATAACGCGATGCTATGAGTGATTTCGGCGCGTGATCGTGATAGTGACTAGCATCGCGGGATACCCGCAATAACTCAGATACGACCGCTCCACGGCATCAAAATATGTAGCAACTAGTTTGTCACTACGATACAGTTGTAGATTATAATGTCGTATGTGTAGCCAAAAGACATAGACAGATAAAGGCAAGTCAGAGAATAAATACCATGACTGATGCTTCTTTAATTTCGTTCACTATTTTGACATACAAATGCTCTGGCGGTCGCGTCTGAAGTTGGGAGCGGATTCCCCGAGACAGCTCGCGCAGCTGTTTTTATAGGCGCCCCCCCTTCACACGTGGTACATGGCAACCACGTGCCATGTCCCACCAACCACCGTGCCCCGCGCACCCGCGTTCGCTTGGCTTCACCCAGCTCGCACTGGACGGTGGCGGCTCCTAACGGGAGCGACCCGCTATTCTGCCGTGGCACCGTCCGGGAGGTGGCTCCGCCTATCCACGCAAACGCGCCACGGCCAGTCAACATGGCCGCCGCCCCATGTGCTAACAGCTTTTCACGCTGCATTTAGCACATGTAATCCAGCCCGGCGAAAACCCTACGGCTGAGCGGTTCTAAAGTCACTCCGAATTAGCCGCCGGGTCATCACCGGGCCTGTCTACACGCTAGCCCGGCACCGCTAATGATGGTCACGTACACGCCGCTTAATTGGGGAAGGTGGCACTAATCCCCAGAGCAGCTGGCGTGGGTGCGTGACAGGTGGTGACATAGCGGCCCCGGCAGCGTGCGGACAGCGCGGGCAGGCCGCCATTTGGATTGCCTCGCCCGCCCGGCCGGCAGCCAAATTGATCGCTCGTGGTTGCTAGGGGCAACGCCGCAGAGCAATCGGCGTAGGAGCCGTATTGATCGCGGTGGTTGCTAGGTGGTTGCTAGGGGTGGCGCCGTAACATGCCTCTGCGATGCCTCTGTCGACCGCGCGCGCGACTCGCGTCGCGCGTGAGGGGGGGGGGAGCACCCTGTAACACGTGGTTGTTACACACGCGGGTACACGCGGGTACACGCACGTACACGCGGGTACACGCGCGTACACGCGGGTACACGCGGGTACACGCACGTACACGCGCGTACACGCGGGTACACGCGGGTACACGCACGTACACGCACGTACACGCACGTGCACGCGGGCACACGCACGTACACGCAAATACACTCACGTACACGCGGGTAAACGCGAGTACACGCGGGTAAACGCACGTACACGCACGTACACGCGGGTACACGCACGTACACGCAGGTACACGCACGTGCACGCGGGTACACGCACGTACACGCACGTACACGCACGTGCACGCGGGTACACGCACGTTCACGCACGTACACGCGGGTACACGCGAGTACACGCACGTACACGCAGGTACACGCACGTACACGCAGGTACACGTACGTACACGCAGGTACAATCACGTACACGCACGTGCACGCGGGTACACGCACGTACACGCACATACACGCACGTAGACGCGGGTACACGCAGGTACACGCAAGTACACGCACGTACACGCACGTACACGCGGGAACACGCACGTACACGCAGGTACACGCACGTGCACGCGGGTACACGCACGTACACACACGTACACGCGGATACACGCACGTGCACGCACGTGCACGCGTGTACACGCACGTACACGCGGGTACACGCACGTACACGCACGTATAAGCGGGTACACGCGGGTACACGCACGTACACGCACGTATAAGCGGGTACACGCAGATACACGCAGATACACGCACGTAGACGCGGGTGCACGCAGGTACACGCACGTACACGCACGTACACGCGGGTATACGCACGTACACGCGGGTACACGCACGTGCACGCAGATACACGCACGTACACGCTGGTACACGCACGTACACTGAAAACAGCAAAGAAGGTAAACGCTCATAACCAAATCGAAATAAATAATAGCGATCGACTCTAACTGTTATTACTACCGTACGCTGGGTTTCATATTTCGATCAAGAAGCGATTTTACGTGTCCTCCATCGTGTTCCTATCCCATTGCATCGTAGTGATGCTCGTAGTACACCTTTATTACGCGTACAATCCGCCCAATATTATGTTATGAATTGCTACGTCATTATGGCGCATGTCTACCACTACGAAAACATGTTTTTATTATATTTCTCGGCAACCTGGTAGTTTCACAGCATCATGGGCTAACACATTGTCGCCAAACTCACAGCATCATGGGCGAACACATTGTCGCCAAACTCACAGCATCATGGGCTAACACATTGTCGCCAAACTCACAGCATCATGGGCGAACACATTGTCGCCAAACTTATAAAATGCACTATATGCGCGCGTTTATACTGTCCCGGGTCGTGTAGGCTACGTTGAGATTTTCACATTGATCACACAATTTTAATCGGACCATGCTCGACTCTATCCCATCACAGTAATAACAATATCACAGTTATAATAAATGACAGGACCGGGAGATGATTCCTAAGGATGGGTGGGCGACGCATGCCTTGACTTGATAATGGCGACTGGTAGCACTCAGATCATGGTCATATTATCAGGAGTGACGATATATATGATATATATATATATATATACGCGTAAATCATTTATTTTGATTCACTCCCGCTATAATATATATAGCTGAGATTTACGGACGCGTCTATTTACAGGTGTTCGTGTCGGACAGGAACGATGGGAAGACGTCGCCGAAATATGTCGGCCGTACGCCGACGCCACATGCTGGTGTTCAACGACTGCCATCTATTGATGTCGTTTCTCGGCGCGAAAAAGAGCGGCTACGCTGAGAGTGAGAGGCTGATGAGCTCCGTGAGAACGTTTATCGAGTGCGTAGCGATGAAGCTGGTTTATCAACATGCTATGCTTGCATCTATCACAAAGACGACATACGCATATTATACGCTCTCCTATGACACTATTTGTCATAGGAAGATTCTTCCTATGACAAGTATTGGCGAGTCAACTTCGTTCCGCTTTACAGCTGAAATTTACTGCTTGCGTTCATAATAGCGCTCATAAACTCCTATGATGCGCACAACACATACAACAATATTTGTCATAGGAAGAATCTTTCTATGACAAAGTGTGTCATAGGAGAGCATATAGGCGTATGTCGTATTTGTCATAGATGCTAGCAGAACAGGCTGAGTTTAGACAGGGTTAGCCACCGCGTTCGACTATCTGATTGCCTGACTGTGTGCGGTGTGTGCGTGTGCGTGTGCGTGTGCGTGCGCGCGCACGTGTGTGTGTGTGTGTGCGTGCGTGTGCGTGTGCGTGTGTTCGCGCGTATACGCTTATACAGTCACACATATCTGCACGCACATGCACACACACACGCACACGCGCACGCGCACGCACGCACACGCACACACACACACACAGCACACATGCACACTCACCCAAAAATACTCACGTAAAAATCATGCATATGATTTACAGGGAAGGCGCGGCAACTCAAGTTATTCCAGGCAGTTGGGCAAGCAATGCTGCGAGGCATGGTGGCGTGCGATGAGGGCCGTTACAGTGAGGCTGTTAACATTCTAAACCCACGCAGATACAGCATCATCGATATAGGAGGTAGCAACGCTCAGGTACGATGCACTCACTAACCACTAGATTTACGCATGCAGTAACGCAATGTTACGATGAACTTGTGATCTAACATAATGTAAATAAATAAATAAATAAATAATACGTAACTAAATTAATAAAAAAATAATATTTAAACAAATAAATAAATGCATACATAAATACATAAATAAATACGCACACAGATGCACGCGCACACACGTAAACACACACAAGCGCGCGCGCATTTTACATAACTGCATTGTGGTTATTTCGTAAACGTAACTGCATTGTCATCGCTGGAATATAGATAAATATAATATAGTGAATCTACCCACGTGTTCTTACCCAGTATTGGAAATTCTATCTTTGTATAGAGAGACGTGTTCAATCAACTTCTTATACACGCCGCAATGAAGTCAGATCTTTCAGAACATCAGCGACTAGCGAGGTAGGTGCGGGAAGACATCAACTCAAGCCCAAAAAAACAATTACATATATGCGCAGCCAAACGTACCACTAGTAAAGGGCATGAGGCACAGAGACACCAATGAAGACATAATATAGGTGCATAGAAATATAGTGACAAGATGTCGTAAACTGCGAGTGTTCGCCTAATAGTGTTTTTTCGTCTATAGGATAGAGTTTAGTTTCGATTGTTTCTGCCGCGTGCAGGTCGCTGTTGATAGAACGCGCAAGGCGACAAGCCGACCGCCGATGACGAGACCGGCTTGATAGGCGCGTGCCATCGCTTCACAACGCCAGAGTAAGATAATTCCTCCTAATACCAACGCAGCTCAACACCTATCCCCATTCGTACTCGAAGAGACAACGCAACCAATCAATCAGTGGCACCAATCAAAAAGGCAAGTCTGCGCCTAACAGGGCGCAATCACGTTTGCGTGCAGCCGCGTACCGTAAAGAACACATAATCGGGTCAGCGAACAGGCGCGAAGCTAACTTATCATATCTACGTGACGCCCTAACCCTAACCCAATAACACACCACCTACCCGCTATCCATCTTACAACGAGGCGGGTACGCCTGCGCCGATCAACAGACACCATTTCAGTTCAGAGTTCGTTAATTGGATGATCATATTTAGAAAACACTACGATACCTAGCCTGCTTAACAATGATCCTGCCGGATGCCCACTCGTCCACCCACCACGAATTAGATCTGACGATGCCGTGAATAACTCAGATGCAACATGCCGTAGCACGTCACATCGAATACGCTGCTAACTAAAATTCTACTCGCTGCACTGTAAAATATAGCCTGACCCCTACAACAATCTATGCCGCGACGGACACCCGCCAAATCCAGATTTTATTGCATCTCTAAACCAGACACACAAGTCGATTGAAGGACCATCCACAATGCGAACTACGGTACAAGGCACTTTTGAAAACTCTGCAGAGGCACCCAGGATATGATAGAGAAGACCGTCCCTTTGTCTGGCGCCGGCGGACGTCCGCCCACCATCGGGCCCGGATGCCACGAGAGAATATACAATGAGACTACCATTCAAATCACATATGCATTCCTGGGCAAAAATTATGCTGAATGCTCCTGCCGCAGCGTGAAGAACCAACACGCGCCGCGCCCTCGGGCGTTTTAGTTTAATTACACGCAGAACCGCGCAATCAGTACGCCGTACGCGGTGGGTAACGGTAACTCACGTACATTGCCCCGCCCCAACGCGCCGGGCGCGACGCGACACAGGCCGACCGCCGCCAGCCCGGCGCCACGCAGCATCTCACAAAAGCCACCAACACAATGACACATACACATGCACATACACAATACACATACACACTACACATACACATACACAGACACAACAGCATACCACCATACACAGCGACCACGAAGCACAGACACATCAGAACACATGCGCACCCGGGCCCGGCGCCACGACACTTGAAATACCAACCCGGTCATAGCGCGTACTATGAGCTTAACCGTTGTTCAACATGAAACCGCCATTAGTAAGGGCGTCGAAGCCCCTGGCCCGAATATACTAGTTCGTACAGAAATTGGACCATGTCGATGTTTCCCATCTACACAAAACGTTAATAATTTAGTAGCATTTATTTTAATTTTCCTTAAACGTCTATAAAAAATATTTATTTACGAAGTTCCTCACAGAATTTAACTATTGTCACTGTTTCCAGTTTGAATCAATGTACAATTCATGATGGTGAATTCTGTGAACTACCGACTTTCATAAACTAGCAAATCAGAATTAATAGAAATGAAATTAAAATTGGAATAGAAATTAGAAAAAACTGAAATTAAAAATAGAAATTAGTTGAATAGAAATGAAATTAGAAGTAGAAATTAGACGTGAAATAGGAATTGAGTTGCAAATTAGAAATTTGAAATAAAAATTGAAATTAAAAGAATTTGAAATAGAAATGAGTTGAATTAGAAAATGAAATTAGAAATGATAATTAGAATCTAATTAGAAAGAAATAAATAAAAATTCTAATAAATAAAAGATTAGAAACATAGTTGGAATTAGAAATGAAATAGAAATGAAATAGGAATGAAATTAGAAATTGAAATAGAAATTCAAATTAAATAGAATAGAAATAACAATGAGTTCGGAATAGAAATTGCCAAAATAGAAATTGAAATAGAAAATGAAAATTAGACATAAAATACAATAAAATAAAATTGAAAATTCAGAAATGAAATAGAAATGAAATAGAAATGAAATAGAAATCTGAAATTAGAAATGAAAATAGCAATTGAAATAGAAATTGAATTAGAAATTGACAAATTCAGAAATTGAAATAGCAAATTCGAAACTAGAAATGAAATTAGAAATTGAAATAAAAATGAAATAGAAATGAAATTAGAAATTGAAATTAGAAATTGAAATTAGAAATTGAAATTAGAAATTGAAATTAGAAATTAGAAATTGAAATTAGAAATTAGAATTGAAATTAGAAATTGAGTTTGGAAATAGAAATTCCATGGGTGGCCCTCCTGAGCCACCATACTGCTCAGGCAGGCACGCACAGAGGGGGGGGGTACACGCACGTAGACGCACGTACACACGGGTACACGGAGATACACGCACGTACACGCAGATACACGCACGTACACGCGGGCATTTCGCATCTCACATTTCGCATCTCGCATCTCGCATTTCGCATTTCGCACGAGCCTTCTGGGCTTTCGTACCTCCTGCCTCTCCCTCCTGCCGCAGCCGCAGCAGCCGACACGGGTTGTGCGCCCGGATTACGTAAAAAGCGCAAATATTGTCACACATGTTTCGGCGGCGATGATGACGGCGGCAGCAGCGGCGGCGGTGACGGGGATGACTAGGTAGGGATTAGCCGCTCGTTTTCTGATTGCGTTTCCGAACCGACGCCGCTGCTGCTGCTGCCGTTGCCGCGGCGATTGCCCGCGCGCGAGCGGATTACGATTAGCTGTCGGCTGCTGATGATGACGACGATGATGAGGAAGAGGAGGAGGAGGATGGGGAGTGTGCTGCTGCCATACCGCAGCGCAACGTCAGTAGTGGACGCCAAGCATGGTGTGCGATGAGGAGGATGGGGAGCTCTTTGCCCGTACCGCCATGTTTCCACCAGTAGGTGGCGTTTGTAGGGGAGGGGGGCTTTTTTTTTACATTTTTTATAGTTAAGACTGAAACACAAAGCATGTGTGGCAAAAATGAGGACAGACTTAAAATAAATATTATGCCTCACAAAAAAAGACCTACCTACCTACCCACTAAAAAAAAATGAGTCGGGGGACAGCAAACATAGAATTTTTTAAGGATGGCCTGAGAGTCATGTTGTGGTAGAGGGGAGAGAACACACAGTTTGTACAACAGCACAGGTCGCGAGTGGGCTGGAGGATCTTGCGTGTAAACCCACACACAACGACCAGCCGCACGCGCGCGCGCCGCGCGCATAACACTGTATAATGCAAGCGCCACGCCTGCGCACGCACACCGGCGCACACCACATATAGAAATCTTCATAGAAGGAGGAATGTATGCAACTGCGGTTTGACGCCATTCTACAGTATAAGCAGGGGGACCGAGGCAGGTGAGGGTAGTGAGAGCTGAGGAGGAGGGTAGGAGAGGCGAGGATGGAATTAAAGGGTGATGTGGGTGAGAGTGATATATCAGTAACTATATACTGCCAGTTATGTATATTAGTGACAGTTCATTACTAAGTGGAGATAACATTGCCTATAGGACGTGCACGGCCCAATTAGATCATTCCTAATATGTCTTGTTCTAGTAGCCACGCCGTTACTTGTGTACAACGGCAGACCCATGGAGCAATCCTGTATACGTATATACTAGTATATATAGTATGTATGTTGAGTTATAAATTTCATTAAGGTATATATATATAATCCGATATACACGATATAAAGATACTCTGGGTTGGCTGAAAGGGAGTGGGGATGAGTGGTTCAGGAGGAGGAGGAGAGAGGAAATGAGGAGGAGCGAGAGTGCAACATGTGTGTGCAGAGAAGTGTAATATATACTAAATATAATATAAATATCAATAGTATATATATAGTAATATCCAGTATATATATATATCATATTTATATATTAATAGCATGTATCGTAGTGTATATTGCTT